GCTTTTAAAGCAACTTCGAGATTATAACAGTATCAGGGGCACGCAGGCCATGGTGGCCGTAGGACGTACAATTATTTTCGGGGCTTCACTGCCAGACCGGCCGTCATGGCCGCCGTGAAAATCCTACCCTGGTGCACTATCACGATAGATATGATATCTCTGAAAAGGCATATCGTGGAGACCTAATATCGTCTCGACGATATATATCGTCATATCGCCCACCCCCAATTTGACTCATACAATAACCCACCTTCGAGTGATGCTCTAGTTTCTTCATGTTTTTTTTCTTTTTCCCTCTTGCTTGTACCGGACTGAAACTGTCTTTTCGCCGACATCTCTTCACCTGCACAAAGCCGTGATTGGTCAGATGTCGATTCATTGCAACGGTGTCGGGTTACAGACGTGCTCCCCTTGTCACCTCTCACTCTCACTCTCACGTGCATGATCGGCCTGTAGGGAGGGACGGCCCTGGTTGTTGGTACATTTACAAAAACATCTTTAGATTTAAATTCCCAATAGTTTAATTAAAAGACACGTACAGTACAACACACAGTGTGCTGATTTGGTGTGCTGTACCAGATTTCACAACAACACAACATCTGTCGGTCTTTGTCAGCTCACCAAGATACATGTATTTATGAAATATACCTATACAAACATGTGAAATGAAACAGCATAACATCAAATGACTAATTATGAAACTTTGCCAAACACACATTATAAAATAACTCTGATTTAATGTGACAGCCTTGTCTTGTTTCACGCTCCCCTCCTCTAAATATTAGACTGAATGCATCGTGTAAAAATGTTAAAGTTCAAAACGAGTTGCTGTAAAATTATTTATTTAATGCTTTAATTATTGCTTCGCAAGGAAAAGGTAACATTAAGGATTATAATGCCACATAATGCCTCACTCTCTCAGTTTCATGTCCTTTTTCTTGTTTGTTGGGAGGAAAAATCAGCTTAAATCTAAACTGGAGAAGTTCAGATTCACAGACAAACTTTATCCACATGAAAGAAACCTTATGTCTGTTTCCATGGTGAGACCATTGTGCTGCTTTTCTGTGTTCTACTTATTTTTGGCAGTGGCTTAATCCTAAATATTTCCCAATTTAACCAACAGCATCAATTTGTTAGACTTTCTCTGTCTGGTAAATGTGCTCATCTTCCAAACTCCCTGAGAAAATGATGCTGTTTATACATTAGACTTCTTTGAAATCTGTTGAATCACAGGAGAAATGTTACGTTTTTCACAAGCTGATTGAGGGTCTGTAGTGAAAATACCTTTTAGGTGTCAATTGATGGATGTGTGACCCTTTAGCTTTCAGTAAATAAGCTTTCAATTTCACTCCAGTTGAGCAGGATGGATCTGCATCTAGACTTATTTTGGAAGATCGTAGTCTGTCAGAAAAAGATATCACAGATAAGGTTTGGTATGAATAATACAATACTTACTTACCATGTTAACGTCTAAGGCCCCGTCCACACGGAGACAAAACGGGTGTTATCCGCTATCGTTCTTTATCGTATGGACGGTTCGTCCACACGAGGCCGTTACGAGGTGCCCTCAAACGATAACGCATCCCAAAGTGGGAAGGTCTGGTAACGTAACGCTTGCGGCACCGTGTGTACGCCCTAAACGATCATAGCCCCGCCTCTCCCCACCTCTCCTGCTCACCCCGCGTCACCCGCGTCAATGCTGATGCGTTTCGCCAACAACAACAACAATGGCGGATCACAGGGTTGCTTTCGTGCTCCAGAAGCTACTGACCATAATACAGATGTTAGTGCAAAATCTACAGCTCCTCTACCACAACCATCAGCAACAAGTGGACATGGAGAACTACATGTTGCTAAGTCCACCACGGAGAATAACCAGAAGGGCAACCATGGCAACCATGCTCGGGGGGTCTTCTTCGCTGCTTTTGGTGTATTTTGTGGCGGAAGTACAGCGCCCCTTACAGGCCCGGCATATGTACTACAGCGCCTCCAGCGGGTCAAGCGGTCTCGTGTGAACAGACACGTTTCTTGAGCCGATTCCGTGTGGACGGAAGACTTTTTTGATATCGACATTTGTTAGTTTTCATTTTCGTTTCCATGTGGACAGTTAACAGCTTTAGGGATATAAAGCGTGGTTGACTCAACATTTACCAGACGGTTTCCAAACCATATGATAGTTAATTTGTGGGATGGCAAACTAAAGTGCATTTTGTGTTTGGACTTGTGTTTTCAGGATAGGAAAATAGCACAGCCACCTGTAAACCTGCATAAAAAAGCAAATATTGATTTTCCAAAGGTTGAGATGAGGTGTGTGATGCAATTACATGATGTCATGATGAGTTTATATCATGTGCCATATTCCTGTAGGTTAGTGGAGAACATAAGGCCATCTTGCATAAAGGTACGAGCTTTGTTGTTAGCATAAATGTGCATAAATGCTATAACTCAGTGAGAGAGATTTGTCATGAAATAAAATACTCTCGCTCTGGTCGTAGTAAGCATCATATTTCTTCTTCACGTTTTTGCTTTATGATCATATATAGATACATTTTTACAAACATTTCCAATCAAAATACGTATAGTTCATCTCCTCTGCGAACAGGAAAATTAAAATGGTGGGGGATACACAATATTACCTTTACAAGCAGTCATCAGAGCAACAGAAAAATACGACAATTGACATCTTTTTAATGCCTTGGAAAAACTTTGTCATATAACCTTTTTTATCTCCCAGTAGTTATAGATTGTTCAATTTACTGGACATGGAAAATCTGTGGACAATCTAATTATTGTTATAAGCCTAAATCAAACATTATTGCTCATATTCATCACAGGCTGTCGCTCTGCAAGCGGAAGAGATTTAATGATGTCTAGGAACAAACATATGCATCTTTAATATCGCAAATGGCCTTTTCTAAGTCTTTTATCCCACTTTATAATGTGTAAAAATTAACTGTCACAATATGATGTCCATTGTAGGAATATAATTATAAATGCACAGCTGCAGACTGATACAGAAAAGGACTGTAGAAAAGACTCAAGCTAAACCGAAGCCTGTACAGATCCATTTACGGACACAAACGTGAAGAATGCAATGTCCAGATGGTACACTATAGTCTATAGAGTCCAGATCACTAGAACAAAACTAGAAATACCATTTCTGGAACATGAACCAAAGGAGGGAAGGACAGTGTAGATGATGGTAATTACAGACAACAGAATATTAAAGCATGTTGTCACAGACTGTTCAGGAATAAAGATATCTTACAATGAATACAATTAAATGAATTTGTCTTTATTTGAAGACAGCTGTGAGTTTGCATTGGGCCAATTTGAAAATTGGGAAATGATGACACAGGCTGCTCTTTTATCTCAGGGATCTGGAATGTATTTTCCTTCTTATGAGGGTCCACAAAGGACAGAAAAAAGCCCCATCTCTGATAAGCCTGATCATCCACCCGTTGTGGAACTAAGCTTTGAGCAAGCAGACATCCGTCTCAATCCGTGATTTAGTCCTACTATGAGCCAGGCTAAGAGTCAGAGGCAGTGCTTCAGTGAGCTCGTAGTGGTGCTCTGTCACCAACTAGGACACCATCACGTTACATTTTCTTTTTTTAAGCATGTATGGATATTTTTAGCATCTCAGTCATATTACAACTGTGTAGTTTGTGCATTTAAATTGTGTTGTTGGTAAAATGTGTAAATATGTAGATTTCCATTTAATTAAAGCTATGAAGTGCTTTCTCATTGCTGCTACTGCTGCTTGTATCACGCCTTTTAGTTATGTGTGCCTATATCTATTTCTATTACTGCAGTGAGAGAAGCCGACGTAGTTTTGTTACCTATATATGATGATAATAAAGATATTCAGATTTGAATGTGATTCTGATACCCAATAGTCCTTCCAAAAGACATTTAGCTTGCCCTGGACAATCCATGATTCAAGTAAAATAAATCTGTGATTTGTAGCCTGCAGACACTTGGCTTCAACAGCGGTGATGATGTAACCTCCATCACATGTAATCCTGACTGTTCAGAAGAGTTGTGGTCATTAGTTGCATTGTTCTGTGAAATGAAGCTCTTTACAAGGAGATGATAACGCACTCTGCATTCACCTGCACCAATAATGCTGCAGACAACTTCCTTTTCACAAATCAGACTCATTTACTTTGATGGCTATGTGGGAAATATATAATTACCTGATCAGGCAGAAAGACCTTCAGGTAGAATACGTTTTTGTTAAAACTGGAAAACTTGTGACCTCTTCTGAGTGCTTTTTTGCCCTCTTTCTGGTCTTACCCGACTCTTTATGAAACAAGAATAGAAAAAATACAACCAAGACCAAATTCATATTTAGTTTTTAACTGGGGAACACATTTATTGACATTCTGTTGTTGGTTCTGTCTTTCTTAAACTGGCATCTAGTGGCTGATAAAGGAACTGCATATTCGGGCACATAGCCCTCAAACACTGTGACAGATGCAGCGTTATCAGAAAGATTGACTACAGTGTGCGTCTGTCAGGCATGTACTGTTGTACTATATTGTCATGCTGTATTTTTGACTTGTTGACTTAATAAAGTTTGTCTTTCTGCTCTCATACCAGGTGCTTTTTAACCTCAAAACACCTTCTAGATGTGGGTGTATATTTGACATACACAGTTAACTCTACAAACTGTGCGCAGTGTTTAGTTGGCAGAAAATAAATGGAAAAACCTGTGAGGGCAAGATGCCGTTGATGCTCATTAAAGTAATTGGGCAGCATGTAGCTATTTGGTTTTGCGGTTATGCAAGTAACAGTCTGAACTAATAACCTTTCTTCATAGTTAAGATTTCCATGTAAACTGTGAAAACTCATACTGTTTTTGTTGCACATTTAAAGATGGCACATCATTTTGCAGCAAACAAAACGTACAGACGAATAGATTTTCACATAAACCTCAAATAACCCATATTTTCTGCCATTATTTTATTGTTGTCATCTATATTTTCTTCTTCCAGTGGCAAATGAAGAAGGAGAGAGCTCCAACAGACCACAGGCCAGTTTCGCACGTAAGTGTTAGACATACTATATTAATTTCAATATAAATATAACTATTTATAAATAATAAGATATAAGCTACTAAGACTTCTGACCAACTCCATGAATTGAAATGTTATTAAAGCATTATAAATAAATAACCTAACAACATGATTTTCCAGAAATTATTTGCTGTTACTAATAATCATCTCATTGTCTGTATATTTTATTGGGAACTGTTTCTTTCCAAAAGTAAATGAATATTAAATTACGTTACATGTTACTTGTTAGACGCTTTTATCCAAAGCGACTTACAGACTCAATACTGTGGACAATTTGGGGTGAAGTGTCTTGCCCAGGGACACAACGACATGCTGACTGCAGTGGGGTTTGAACCTGTGTCCCCCTGATCTGAACACCAACGCACACCCCACTGCACCACACACCTACCTAAATAAACAAATACTGTTAATACTAATAATATTAATACTGATTAATATCAACATTAAATATATTCTGTTAGTATATTTTATTGTCATAAAAAAAGAGTACAGACATGGGATCAGGGACTAAATAATGGTTGCGTAACCGTGCAACAATGATAGTCCACTAAAGCTACAGCAGAATAAGTGGTAGTAGAAGTGTAAATAGTGTAGTTAACTACTTTGTACTAAAAGTGATCCTTAAAAACTAGCATTGACAGCCTACAGCCACATGGGGGCAGCATTACAAAGGCGTACACTTGTCTAACTCCCTTTTACTGACACTCTGAAAGCCATGCAGTGGAGATTCAACTAACACCTGTGTCACAAATTGAATTGTGCTCCATGGCACTATACAAAATAATTCCAATACCACTAAGGCTACCCTCTTTTGGTACTTATTGAATACAAACAAGATAAATCACAGCATTACACAGTATTCAGACAAAGCCTTTTTGTTGTTTTGTTTTTTTGCAGGCTCAAAGTCCCAGAGTGCTTTGTGGAATGCCATCACGGCGGGGATGGGGATCAAAGGCAAAGAGCAGAAGCCCCCCCTGTCGGACCCTCGCAGTCCTGAAGAGATTCTGGCTGACGATCTCCCTGCAGCCGACCAACCAGACGCCACAGAGAAAACAGCCACCAGGTTTGCTGCTTTAGCAATACATACATCAAAAAGTTAGTTTATTATCCGTTAATTATTATGGATTCAATCCTGAGTCAGGGTGCAGCGGGACATCGGCAGCCACGTCCAGCTCATTATCTTACACAGGTGTAATTTGCATACACTCGATATTCCTCTTAGCATATACTGTAGGGACAAAGAAAGGATATATACATAAGCTGGCATCCTTCTGCTTTTTGTATTCATTTGGTAATTTTGATTAACTTGATTATTAAGATGCCTGTTGATTTGAAGTAGGCCCTGCTTGCTTTTTATGAAGAGGAAACCTTCTTTCTGAAATGTAACATTCTTGATACGCACGCACGCACGCGCGCACGCACGCACGCACGCACGCACGCACGCACACACACACACACACACACACACACACACACACACACAGTGCTAATTGCTATGTATGGCTGCTGACCTCAAGGGACGTGGGCAAGATTGATTCCACCTTGATAACAAGGACTTCAAACCACCATTAACATAATTTGTTGTCACTTTTGGAATATTGAACGTCTTTTAACGCCTGATTCCAATTAACCTTAATGGCTCTGGAGACCGTTACAAATGCCGCAGGTGGCGAGAATAGAGTGTTTGTAAGAGGATACTAAAAATGCACCTAGTGTGAGTGATAACAAGCTTTTGATTGTATGCTAAATAGACAAGGAGTTATAGCAAGCCGATTTGGAAAGACCGCTTTTTCCCCCACACGTTTGTATACTGTAGCAAGCATTTCAAAGAGATTTATCATTTATGAGGTGTTTGGTACGAGATTGTGAAAATCCCATTTGACTATTGTTTCATTTTCTTTCTCTACCTTTTCTGCAATGTCTCACTGCTGTAACACACTTCTTCTGTAGTGCTTCTCATGCTTTCTCACATGCTTTCTGTTGTTACTCGCCATAGTTCCTTCCTCAGAACGAAGGCCCTTTTTCCAGAGCAGGGGGGTGACAAGGAGAAAGTGATTTTCCACTTGACTGGACTCAGCCTGTTCCTTCATTTTAAAAGCTACAGCCTAGATTTGAAAGAAAAACATAGTCAGCGGAGGGCAGCTAAAAGCACTCTCACCTTCCTCAGAGTAAACAGTTCATTTGTCCGCAGAGCCAGTGACTTATTTCAGTGTCATATATTACTGTCATATTAAGACATAGCTTTAGATTTTAATCAGGCTGGGGCACACTGCCAAGCACAAGCCAAATGCTGCTAAATCTTTGGCTGGAGCTGAACGATTTGCATTTGTCTTCTGGCCTGCATGAGAATGATTTAATTCAGTACCCTACCTGCCAATGTCTGGTTACCTCCGCCAAGGAGCTTAGGTTTGTTTGTCTGTACGATTCCCACTCCTCAGAAGCCAGCTATCTTCTTCTTTACATCTTTGAAATCCGACTAAGATAAGAGACAGTCTTCGACCTGGAGAGCAGTGGTTAATAGAGGCCAAACCCACAGGGAGTAGCAGGGATCTACATCTGAATGACAGATGGCAAGATTATGGCACAAGGTGATTAAATGACCAAGGAACTAGCAGTAATCCATAAAACGATGTACCATGTCACCTCCGAGGCCAAATGCTGGCTGCCGTCCTCCAGGCGATGATAATTAGAATTTTATTGGAGAACGGAGCGAGGCATCACGTGAAGTGTAGCAGGCAGGATGGGAGTGAGTGAGTTAAAGGAAAGCAGTCATTACCTTGCGTTGATCGAATGAACATTTTGGTTTTTTCAACCATTGCATTATTTTGCTTAAACTCTTCAGTGAATTTCTCTCCAAGTATTCTAATCACTCATTTATGTTCTTTGCTGGCTGCAGTTAACAATGAAAAAAAAGCTACTTTATTATCTTTTCACCTATTTTCCAGTTTTCTGATCAGCTGAAAAGCTGCCTGACACTTACGATCCATAGCAGCTGCTGAAATAATTTTGTTTTAACAGCTTTTCCTACAGCACAATGGAGTGCATGCCTACTAGTCACACAGTGAGGGACAGAATATGAAGCCATTAGTGTATAAACACACGCTGACTCATCTGTGTGGCTGGTGTCATGCTGTTGTTTCTGCTCATTAGGGTGCCTTATGCATTTTAAAGCACTTGCTTGCTGCACAATGGGCTACAAGAGAGTTTTAACGCAGAAGATGAAACTTGCACATTTTGAATGTCTTTGTCACTTCACCAATATCAATTTATATGTGATGGTATTACTATGACTTCCCTCACCCTGATGTTTCCCATTAGGTAGTATAGCATGTCAATGTTTTTTTTAAATTGTCTTCATTCTGCCTGCTGAGCCAGATACTGGTTCTCATTTAGATATCAGCATGTGATTTGAATACAGTATTTTCACTCTGATTTCCATCAGTAATCTTTAAATTGCAACTTTGCTTTCGCAGCAAAACCTTTTAAAGAGCTAAGACATAATAAGCAATTAAGGTTATTGTTATTCTCATCCCAAGAGAAGGGAAAGAGAAAGGGGCAACATATAGGTTATAACTCATTAGTCAAAATTAGCTTTTTATTACAACCTAAATACTGTTGTATTCCACACTAGTGATTATTCCATTGCGATATGATGCTAAGAACCAGCATTTGACCATTGTAAAACTTGTAACAGCGAGTCAACATCACTTTCATAATAACATGAATGATATTATAAATAATAAAATCTCTACTAAAGCACTAATAGTTAGAGAGCTTTAACAATGGACAGTCAGAATACAGAGGTGATAAGAGGCTTACCAAGTGGTGACAAGGGACAGAAATATGTATTTGTATTTACTAGATCATTTTGAGTTTTCAAGTTGGTATTCACCGTCCACATGTCAACAAAAAGAGTGCTTTCATGTCCAGTAGGGGTGTAACGGTTCACAAACATTTCGGTTCGGTACGTACCTCGGTTTTTAGGTCACGGTTCGGTTCGGTACGTTTTCGGTACAGCAGAAAAAATTATCACAAAACATAAAATATTTTTAGTTTTTGTTTTATAATTATTAAACTGTGAATAATGTATTCACTCAAATAAATACAAAATATAATAAAATAAACATTAAGGTGCAGCATTTCGATGAACTGAAATAATCTGTATTTGAACTTTACTGTACTAGTACTCACAAAACATAAAGTATTAGTTTTGGGTTTTTGATTATTATTAAACTGTGAATATTCACTCAAATAAATACAAAATATAATAAAATAAACATTAAGGTGCAGCATTTCGATGAACTGAAATAATCTGTATTTGAACTGTACTGTACTAGTTCCTAAGCAGCCAGTTTGACATTATGACTTGCTTGTCATTGTATTTTCATGTTTTTTTTCCACATTGTTTGCTGAAAGGGCAGATCTGCTGGCACTAACAATGTCTCCTGCTGTGGAGAACACCCTCTCGCTAGGGACAGAGGTAGCAGATACAGCCAGGTAGCGCGTTGCTAACATGGCAACATAAGGATATTTGGCGTTTGTAATAGCTTTGGCTTGGTCTGAACTTGTTGCGAGTGGTGGAGGCTTAAATGCTAGTGGGAGTTGGGTTTGCACTTCAGTCTTTTTTCTTTTGGTACCGGTGATATTCACGTTCGGGTTCATTGTGGGAGCAAAGCGTATCTTCTCTCGCGGTGCTCGCTGCAATTGCCGCCTCGACGGAGGCGTCAGCCAATCAAATCCCGCGTATGCAAATCTGACAGTACAAGCGCTAGCCAATCAAACCGCGTGTATGTTGGGAGAGCCAGACCGCAGTTATTTTCCATATGTAAAAAAATGGAGGAGGAAATTATCGTGGCGTTAGGGAATCACCCGGTACTATATGACCAGTCCCTCTTTACATACAGGGATACAAACCGGAGGAGCCAGGCATGGGGGGAGGTGGCAGAGACAGTGGGTGAAACTGGTAGGTTTTCGCCTGTTTGGGGAGTTTATAGCCAGTGTACTTCGTTTGAATGGACAGCTAGCAAGCATAGACAGTATATTTAGCCAGCATGGATGTAGCATGAATGCTTTGCTTTGTATGTCCGGGGCTGGACATTCATGTGATTGGTTGTTGGTCGCGTTGTTCGTAAAAAATCCCCAAGCTTCAGACACGCCCACCGCCAAGCGGTAACGCACGCCGCCGTGTGTAGGGGCCGTAACAGTACGTCCACCCAGCAGCTTTAAACAAATCTTCCAACGCTTCTCTGCCCATTGACTTTGAATGGGGATGACGTCACTTTGCCTCGCTTTTCGCCTAACTGCATTGTGGGGGAGCGAAGCGAAGATTTCCAGGATTTTCAGGATTCAAAAGTTGAGCAATGTTCTACTTTTGAAGCTGAGCTGGAAGCGTCAGCCAATCAAATCCCGTTTATGCAAATCTGACAGTAGAAGCGCTAGCCAATCAAACCACGTGTAAGCAGGGAGAACCAGACCACAGTTCATTTCCTCATATTCCAAACGAGAAATTACGGTAGCAAATCACCCGGTTCTTTACGACCAGAACTATTAACGGGATACAAACCGGAAGAACCAGGCATGGAGGGAGGTGGCAGAGACAGTGGGTGAAACTGGTAGGTTTTCGCCTGTTTGGGGAGTTTATATATATATATATATATATATTGCTCGCATAAAATCCCCGGGTTTTTTTGCTTTGTATGTCGGGGGCGGGAGATTCATGTGAATGGTTGTTGGTCGCGTTGCTCGCAAAAAATCCCCAAGCTTTCAGACACGCCCAGCTCCAAGATTTTCAAGATTTTTGAAAAGCTGCTGTGTGGACGGGCCGTAACGGTGTTACGTAATCAGAATACAAAAATCAAGTAACTGTATTCAGCTCGTTACATTTGAAAAACGAGTAACCTGATTACAGTTACTTTCGTAAACCTGACGTGAATACATTTTGGATTACTTATTGGAATTATTGGTGGAAAGATTTCCTCACAACATTTAATTTTCATTACTAAAGGTACAGCCGAATCATCACAGCGCACAAAACCTATTACCGCCGCAGATGGACCAAAAAAG